CCTCCTCCTCCTCCTCCTCCTCCTCCTCCTCATCTACTTCTTCGTCATCTTTATTATTGTCTTCTTCCTTCAGTACGTCCTCGTCGCCCTCTTCGTACACATCGCTAAGATCTTCCTCCTCGTCGTCATTTACCTCGCCTTCTGCATTAATCTCATCCTCATCGGCAGGCGTATCATTAAGCTTAGAAGCTTTATTGGGTGGCTGCTGTTTTTCTGTCTCGAACTCTTGTTGAGGAGTTACTGGTTCCAGCTCGGGGTATTTTTCATCGCGCTTGCGCTTGCCCGCTTGAGGTTCGGAAGCGTCGGAGTAGTCTTCTTCGACTATGGGGGGTTTGTACGTCATTCTTGGACAGATTGGTCATCTACAAATCGGTAGGATAATTCAAAATTATTCAATTGAGAATGTAAAGTATGATAGAAATTGGGGACCAATCTGAAGCGGTCGTGGGGAGAGAATATATACTCTCCCGGTTCGGTGGTGACGTCGCTATGATGCCCATCGCCCGCGGCCTCGTTTTAGGGTTTGGAATATTTACTAGGATGGGAACCAATACTATAAATAATCATTGTTTTCATTCTGTCACGTTGCGGTTCGTTTGTGTATATGATCAATCCGTATATCAGGTATTGTACATCGATCCTACAGCTTAGCCCGACCCTTCTGTCTCAAGACGCCGTTTACCAACTCGACTGCCTCCGCGGCACAGCCGAAGGAAGCCTGGTATCCAAATCCTCCATGGCCGTAGTTATGTACTACTGAGACGCCATTAACCTTGTCTGCTTCAATGCGTGGTCCGCCCTCGCGGAAAGGTCGTAGTCCAACACCATGTCTAATAACATCTAATCCCTCAATGCCCTGGCCCTTGCCCACGAGTTGCGGGACAAGAGCAACGGCGCGCTTCATGATGCGCACGGCCAGGTTCGGATCAGGCAGCGGATCCCACTGGTCCTTCTGGTACGATCCTCCGATTACAGTTCCACCACCCGCTGCCCGGGTCATCATGTAGGTGATCTCATCATCGGCGTCGTCGGTGCCGGAGATCGAGAACATTGCGCCGGGATCGTTGCGCACCACGACGACCTGACCACGGATGGGGTGGAGCTTGTCATCGTTGACTCCTCCTAGTTTTCTGGATGAAAGGCCGGTGCAGTTGACTACCACGTCGGCTTTTTTACCGGAGTGATGGAGGCTGGCTGCGTCGGCCACATGCTTGATCACGGCTCGCTTGAAGACCACACCGGTCTTGCGACATTGGCCAATTAGCCAGGGTAGATAGATCGCTGTGTTAATACAAACAGAGGTGAACACCGAGGCGTTGTCAATGCCGGGGGCCAGCTCATGGTCGGGGAAGTTGCGGAACTAGGGTATCAATCAGCGCGGGGGTCATTCCGTTGAAAACTTGAAAAATCAACATACATCCGGCACGACATCTTTATACCAAGGCTCCTTCTGCACCAATTCCGAGAACCAATCCCCGGTTGCTGATCCCTGATCTTTTGTACGGTTATAGACAACCGCATCTAGACCCGTCTGCTTAGAAAATGCACAAGATAAAGCGCGCGAGAGACAGCATACCTTGGAAATGAATTCCAGCGTCCGGGTACTTCTCTGTGATCTCCTTGAGGGCAGGCCAGGTGTTTCGTTCCCATTTGCCATGGGAGCTACTGGCTTTACCCACCCTGTTCTTGGTGAGCATAGGCATCTTTCATACAAAGATATACCAGTTTACCCCTGTAGAACGTACGGAAGATAATTGGCACCTGCCCAAGGTGACGCGTATTCTATGTCGTAGTCACCCGGCATGTGCTTGGCCAGCACTGTGATTGAGTTGGAGGCATCCTTGGATAGGAGATATGCCGTGGTGAGTCCCGACACTCCGGCTCTGTTGGGTTGCTATCAGCTTGGAGCTGGAGGTTGGGGGAGAGTGTGGGGTTGGCCGTACCCCAGGATCACTATGTTATTTGTGGACATGCTTGTTTCTTTGGATAGATTTCGGAATTATTATGAGTTTGATATATAATTGGAGCTAGGAATGAAGAGACTGTATAGAGAGAAGACAGGAATTGACGGTTCTGTACATGGTGAGTCGAAATGATTAAATATTCATCATTATGCAGGATACAAATCCCGCCGGGGAAGTCGTCCGTTGGATTATCAGCGTTTGACGTTAATCGACCGGGGGTGATTGGTCCAAAATTCCGGCGGGCAGAAGGAAATGATTACTAGTAGTACCGGGAGGGGCGATTTAGGGCATCGGGAGAGGTACATACATACATACATACATACTTACATGGTCCTCCCTACATAAGTAACGTATGATTCTGTCTGTATTTTATTGTAATAAATGATATTTGGAGAAATAACTGTCTGAATAAAAATAGAAGACTGTAACACTTATCAGAGTCCTGAGGATGACCTAAAACGGTATGCAAATAATGGCGGGTACTCCCGGCATCGCCAAAGCGCGCGTCTGTATCTTTCGTCATTATCGGAGGGCAGGCGTCGCCGCACGTGGTGTCGGCCAATCAGAGCAAACATCAGGCTTCACCGCCTCCTCGGATCACGACCGCTGTTCGTGTGTTTCCTCCGCAGTCCCCGTACCAGAAAAAGTATTGAGAAACTTGCTGCTGCTTTTCCTCTTTTTTTCCCTCTTCCACTTTCACTGAGCTGTCAGTGTTGCTTTTTTTACTCTCCCTTGCCTTGTTCCTCATATCCCTCTGCTCGACGAAGCTCTCCGACTGTCTGCCTCACCAATGAGGGCCATTCGTCGAGCAGAGCTACTCAATCATGACGGATGTTCCAACCGGTGGCAGAATCGTGCCTGTAGTCGAGGCCCATCAGCATTACTCCATTCGTCCTGCCGATGAGGCCGTGGCCGAACAACGCCCCCCAACACAACAGCTCCCAGCCCACCCCCCACAACCGCAGCAAGAGGATGATAGTGATGGACGTTCAAGTCAGAAGCTACCGCCTCAGTCGCAGGTGAAATCGTCAAAAATTACGCGCAGCAAAAATGTGGAGACGGAATGCCTGGAGCTTCCGTGTCTCAGCAAATTAGGGCTCTATGCTCTCCCTACAGAGGGCGACGGTAATTCCTCCTTGCCATTGGACTTTCAAGCCATATCATATATACTGTTGCCATCTCAATGGGGCTCGTATACCGTAGAATTCCTAACGTCGCTAACTGTGCCCTCTAGGCAATTGCTTATATTACGCCCTCTCGGACCAGTACTATGGAGATTTCACCCATGCCGACGAAATTCGTGTCCGTCTCGCAGATCACATCGCTGCCAATAAAGATTACTTTATGAATTTTATAGCCGCTGTTGGTGGAGAGCGCAGAGCGCCCAGGCGGGCGGCAGCGTCGGCGGCTCGATACGCGTACTGTTCCTCCTCTTCAGCCAGTCCCGCCCCTCCTCCAACGTCCAAGGATAAAGAGCGGAGCTTTGATTCCAAGGTGGCAGAGTCTCGGAAGAAGGGCGTTTGGGGAGGAGCAGAAGAGATCCAGGCGTTTTGCCAGTCATATAAAAGGGATGTTAATGTCTACACTATGTATGGCATCCAGAACTTCCGCGACGTCCATGCTTCAGATGACGAAGAGCGGGAGTCTGTGCATATTGCTTTTCATGTAAGGCACTCACTAGTTGCTTACCTTATGATTTTCTAACTTTCTAGGATTTCCATCATTATTCCTCGGTACGGCATACCGAAGGCCCCCACACAGGCTTGCCATGTATACCCACAGCTGAGCAGACACTCCAAAAAGAAGCGTCAACAACGGGACCTACTGTCGTAGATATGGCTAGCCCGTGGAAAATATCGGCCATCCAGGAAGGTCTTGGTGGCAAGTATGACCGGGACACGATCGTAGGAATGCTTCAACAATGTCGCGGTAACATCGACAGGGCATTCGAGAACCTACTTGGTGAAGATACCAGTGCACACCCGGCAGAGACTTCTGCTTCTAAAGCCATCATGAAATCTCGTCTTCGACAGCCGTCCTCCCGGTCTTCCTCTCCCTTCAGCACAGGCAGTAAGCGCTCCGCAGATGAGAGTGAGCTTGAGGACAACCCTCAACCGGCTATGCGGCGCAATCGCGCTAGAGATCAAAAACGCCGTATCCTTCCTGATGTAACGGTCGGGATTGCCTTCCGGGACGATCAGAATGACCTTGTATCCTTACGGTTACGAGTCAGCCCGGATGCGGTCGCAGGACAGGCGGTGACTACAGAGACCCCTAGCCAGACAGAGAGTGATTCCTTTGAGTCAGGATCCGGATCCGATGGAACCGGAGTTTCAGAGAAAGACACGAAGTCCAGGACCAAGCAAAAGCCAGCTTCTAGCGAGCCCTCCACCCAGAAGAGCGAAGCAAAGGAAGAGCCGAAGCCACGGCGGAGCCAACGTCTCACCAAAGCTCGGAACGCTTCAAAACCTGTATAAGGTCTGTGTGCTTCTCGCTTACCTATCCTTCCCGATCTTCTGGATCAAATTCGCATTATGCCACGACCGTAACGACACTGATATACACACTTGGCTTCCATGTTTACTGGGGTTTCACAATAAGCACGTTGGGCGTTTTTGCCGCTTTGGTTAAAAGAGTCGACTATCTATTTCCCTATTAACGACTGAGCGGGTTTTGCTTCCATTTTCCTTCCGATATCTACCCACACCATTTGACACTACCTATCTGCGATAGTCAGCCACGATTTCACCACGCGAGCATACGATATTTCTTGACGAGGCGTTGTTGGGGGTTTTGCATTCATCTTGGTCTTGCATTGGGTTTGCGCGTGAAATAAAAAGAGCTTATTTCCCTCTGTTCCGGTGGCCTTCTCTGGTTTAGTTTGGTTTTCTTATTTCATGCATGCAGGACTGAAGGATCTGTACAGCCATAAAATCATGAACTGGTTGCATCTTGGGGCGGTGAAGAATCTTTTTTTTTTACGCTTCTTCCTTTCCCTTTCCAACTTACCACTTTTCGGTTTTCCTAGACGATTCGAGTTTCCTGGGACCATGTCAGGCAGGATTGGTGGTTGAACATGCCATCGTACTATTGGCATAGATCTTTAAATCATTGATAGCTCCGGTAGACGGGGCCTTTGCTCGAATACATCATCGGATACCTTGACTATTTTCTCTATTATATGGGACACCGTAGGGAGATTCGTGCTTAGGGTGCGTCTGAGGACCCATTCAGTACGTAGTGATATAATAAGAACTGTTCAAAACATAAAACAGTACCTTATTGCCGACAAGAGTAGATGGATATATCCCCATACATAATCAATCATGAACAATGGTGTTTTTGGATTACGAGGGTTAGACCAGCCGCTAACTTAGGAGCTATGCTGAAGAATGAAGATTCTACAGATCTTGCAAGAACTTGGGGCTTCGATGTAATACATTATGACTAGTATACAGTTCGCTAGGATAGAGTGAGTACAGTGCATATTTTACAAGAGTTAGAGAACGAAGACCACAAGAGAAAATAAGGAAAAGTGGAAGTGGAAGTAGAAAAGGAGGAAGATGATAGATAGACCTATGTCTGAAAGAGTGACAACGTGACGATATCCAAAATATACATTACATTGTACTTGACATGAGAAAGAAAGAAAAATGGAATTGCTGCTTGTCATAAGAAGGGTATAATATAGTCTATCGTAGAAGAAAATAGAAAACTGAGAGAGGATCGTCACAGGTTCTGAAAATGTCTTATCTTGCCGTCGTCAGAGGACGGTCATCAGGGTCTCGAGATTCTTCGGCGTGGGCCATGGGGCCCTGCCCATGGGTGTGTAAGGTTGGACGGTTTGCGATGCGTCGAACACCGTTATCATAATGCACTGTAGGTAAATATTCGGCTGGAGCAGTAGGAATACTCTCTGATATTTGTTTCCCTTGGTGCTCTCTCTAGCATAGAATCGTCCAGGGTTGGTTCTAGCGTGTATGTGCCACGTCCCGTGAGTCAAAGGTTGGATTGACTCTTTTCAGCCTCTAAAGTGATTGTTTGTAAGGATGGTGTAGATATTCTTTGCTCCGTCTTAACGAACGGACATCCGATTGAATGACGGATCTGGTCGAAGTCGAACACCGGGAGAATAACAAAGGGTGTACAGTTCGTCAACGTAAGTGTTGAAAGCCATTTCACCGGCCACAACAGTCGTCTGTGAAGCAAGTCTTCCTATTGAGGGTTCGAAGGTCGGTTCGGCCAGCTTAGCGACATCCACTTTGACTTCTTTGCGGACCATGATCTCAGGGGTGAGAGTGTTCTCGGAGAGAGACTCTTGCGAGTCAGTTTTGAGCATTGAATCGGGTAGTTTGCGGGGGTTCCAGAAGCGGATTTTGGAGCGAATGGAGTCAGGAACGTCGGAGTCGGTGGATGAGGTTGGGCGGGCTTTTGAGTATAAAAGCTCTTCGCTGAGTTCTTTAGCAAATCCGTCACTCTCGCTGAGGCCGTCGTTCGTCTGCTGCTGCACGCGGAAAAGACGGAGAGGGGTGAAGGAGTAGTCTGGGTTTGAGATTTGCGTATCTAGGGATCCCACCACACAGAACGGCAGGAGGATGCAATTCTGTCCATCTGATATCCTATTAGTGCGGCAGGGGGCGATAAGGGGACGGGCGGAAAATTTAGATGCTAGGTTGACATCGGGCGGAAGAGACGAGGAAAGATTCGTTATCGCTTGGATTAGCTGCTCGCGGAACTCGTCTATATCCTGGTAGGCTCGCGCATGGTCCGATTTCAACCAATTCAGGCAGGTTGACATGGTCCACCCTTCCATGTGTGCTATCATTTCCAGATGTTTGATTTGGAGACGTTTAGTCGATAAAGTCGATGATGGTAAGGGGTTGCCGGTACCCTTGGCAGTCAACACTTCGAAGTGGTCATGGATCGTAGGGCGCATGATAAACGAGATAAGATGGACTCCAGGTTCGAATACACGGTGCGATGATGCGTAATCTCTCATGTCTTTGAGATGGGTTCCCAAGCTTAAGGCGGGAACGTGAATCCGGCGAGACAGGATCGTTGTAACGTTTTCGATAGTTGTAAATCGGAAACCTGCTGCCGCCATACGGCTAGCTTCGTTTTTCTTTAATTGACGCACTGTGAACAAGAGTTGACCTTTTCCTGCGCGTATCCTCGAGTACCCCATCGCACGAGAGAAGGGCGACGATGGAGTAGCGGTCGACAAAACGTGGTCATAGAGCATGCCCATATCCTGTAACGGCTGTCGAACCTCATCGGCTAGGTCTTGGGCGGTTACACAAAAGTGGCGTTTGAATAGATCATCGAAATGCGGTTGCAATTCAGTCTCTTGGTCCGAGACAACTCCCTTGGAGATGTAATGCGCCAGTGTGGCTTCGTCTGACTCTATCCGGCCTCTCATGACGGGCACCGCGTCTCTCACTAGTTTCCAGTTTCTACTCGCTCGAACAGCCCAGAGGAAAGCAGGGTGCGTCCGCGTAAGATCATCTTCATTGAATGTCTGAAGAAAAATTAATGGTTAGTGGTGGCCGGGAAATCAAATCGAGGACCATCGAAAAACAAAACTCACCCTGCCAATGTACCGGTCAACGATCTTCCGGCTTGGAAGTAATGCATGCGGTGTGACCATGATCCGTCCTTCAGGGTCGAAGAAAGCACAGGTCAAGACCAGCTGTTGGGCTTGTGCTCTGAGCTTCCTGCGGCTTCCACCAGCGACTATGGCACATGCGGACAGTACACCGCAAGCAACGCATGCCTGTATAATGTCAGTATATAGAGCCATGCGGTCCGAAAACCTAGGAAACTGACCAAGACAGAACAGATAATCACAGTCTGGGTGCGAGAGAGTTGGCCACCCTTTTTGACAGACTCATCATGATTCCGGTACGACGTTCCCACTGCAGCCGTCCAGTGCATACCAGAAACAGCTGCAGCAAGCATGCAGCCACAGATGCCTCGCCTCCACCAGCTATCCGTCCAGGTAGCTCTCCATCGAAAAAATACACTCAAAGCAACAGTGCTAGCGAAGACGGCGATGATGGCCGCACCAGCTACATTCGCAGCTCGGTAGGAGCAGTGATAGTTAGCAATCCCCAGCTGTCCAATATAATGCATACCGCAGACCGATGAGCCAGTCAGCACACCTCCCGTCATGATCCGGAGATACCCTGCTTTCTCACTTGTGCCAATAGCGTAGAAAGCGGCGAGGAGAACAACCACCGGCAAGACGAATGAGACGCCTGTGAAAGTCATGCTGTACATAATCTGAATATTTGATTCCCCGTTGCCAAGAACGATCGCTCGGTTCCCAATGAAATGCATACACCAAATACCAACACCTCCCATGGCTATCGAGGAGGTGAGCAATAGGTACCTAGGTTGAATATTAGCAAGCCGACATCATGTTCTTGCACAGCACATCATGCTCGTACCAATTGTACAAACCCGCTCTTGCCGTCCGTCGATGGAGAAGTTCTAATGTCGTAGTGCATCCCATCATGCTGACCACGTAGGAAAGGAAAATAAACCCAGCCAGGTATGACACCCCGGTGGGTGCCCTCTCGACAGGGGCGTCTGCATTCGACATTTTGCGAATGAGAGGAATATAGGGAGATCGGAAGCACTTAGGACTTCATTGATCGTGGGCACGATGTGTAAAAAGAGAAACACCCAAGACAGTTCACCGTACGTGCATGTTTGGGGTCGCTGGGAAGTCTACCTTCAAGAAAGGATACAGCAAATTTGGGAGTTAAGGCTGACGCATTGACAAATGCGATCACACATGGGGACAGATCTTGCTATTATAACGATTAACTCTAGCTGATACTCCACCACCGTTTCCTGTCCCTCGTGGGCGGCTCCAGCAGTACCAAGGTTGCAACGTAGCGCGGGACAACAAGAGATCCCAAGAATAAGCGAAGGCGTAGCTGGACATCGTATTTGTTCCTCGGGTATGTATGGGATCCGCTTTACATCCCTGTGAGTAAATGTACGTCAATTTAACAAGCGTAACCAAGGTGAGAGCCTGGCCCGTAGTCTTGGCCCTTGGGCTCCTACCACGAGCTAAAGGTAGGGAGGCTTGGAAATGGAAAGACCCATAGCAATCAGCCGAAAAACGTGGAAATTTGCTGGATACCACTGTAACGATCGAGGATCGGGATCGTTGTTGGCCAGAAGGGAACGATGGGGCATAAACTCTGACGATTGAGGACTCGACTACAAAGTATGGGCCTGGCCACAGTCTGATAAAAATCATGGCCATGGCCTATCAGCCACAGCATACTTCTTGTTCTATTTTTCGTGGTGGAGAATTTGGTTTCATTTTTTGTCTTTCCCATTTTCCCATTTTTTTTCTTTTTCTTTTCCATCAACCCCTCTGAGTTTTGCGTGAGGGTAAACAGAGGTGGGTGACAATATAATTGTAGACATGATATGGGTCCGAGTGGTAGGGACCGAGCGAACCGATTGCTTTCTCGACGATACGCTAACCATGGGTTCAGCTGCGCCGCTCCCAAAGGATTCGCTCTTCTCCGATTTGAACCTAGGATATGACCCCTAGTAGCACTCGCCCTCAATGAGCGAGAGAGACAACGCTCCACAAAAGGATTTTTTTCTTTTTGTTTTTCTTTTTCTGGTGCTATTGTCCGAGAACTTTCGATTATGTATACCCACCGCAACCTAGACGCCGACACACCCGGTAGCTGAGAAATCTAGGGCATCAAGATTGGACATCATACGTAACTGTTTCATAGCCATATTCATTCGTAGTCATCCTCGGTACTACTCAGAGGACAACAAACCTCCAATATAGTGGAGACCATAACTCAATAACAATATGAGTTGATAAGGTTGATTCACCGATTGGAGAGTTGATACCTAAAATTTGGAATAATAAACTTGAGATAATGTCCCAAAACATAGTTTCGACGAAGTCACGTCAAGGATCTTGTTTGGTACACGAGTGTGTTGGCCGAAGGAAGCATTTGTCTAGACGGAAGTTTAAACGGACACCGGAGAGGGTTCACTGCACGAACAAGATGGACGTGAGTTGTCTGGGTCGGGCGAGACAGGAGGAATCAACCCAGGGCAGTGGATAGTCTAATTGTCACAGACCAATGGATAGGGACCCTGAGGGGACTGTCGATGCAGCGCTGGAGCAAAATTTCTGGTGAGAAACGTGAGATCCACCCCGCCCGCTCGTGACTCGTGGAGGATGACCGATGCGATCGACGCTATTCCTGGTTTGGACTGGGCCCAGGTGGTCGGGCTTGACCGAAACATCGAATACGCGAACGCGACGAAAAATAAAAAAAACCCCAAGTTAATTGTTTCAATCTCTTTTCATTTGTCACCCCTCATGTGATACTTTCATATTGATTAATTCGATATTGAGAGATTAATCAATGGAGTGGGGTACGCATGCGAAGTATTCATATCAGATGTACCGAGTACCGCCACAGAAAAGGGGCCCGATCGTCGATTTGTGCCCTGGAGATCCCAACAACCGGCTTTCCATGTGCCAAGGTATGTTTGTACCTGCATTGCATACCTGGCAGCCTACTGTGCCTGCGTAGGATTCGATATTGAGGTTTTCAGTCCAATGGTTCAGAGTTTACCCTAATCTCACCGTCAACCAATCGGCCCCTCCACGTCTCTTCAACCAGACTTCGACTTTTTGTTTTGCGGCGTTCCGCCCGGTCAACCATCTACTTCCGGAGTAGTGGTCCTGTACATACCAGCGCTTGCAACCACACGGCATGAATTGTTTCAGCGCGTCCTCATCCAGGAACCATCCTCAAGGTGCAAGGTTTTTTAATCTATCCAGAGTCCCAGACAAATTGATATTTGCTCACAGTGGAGCCTCCGCCGGGAAGTAAATCCTTTCAGGGTGGATTATTTCGGCTTACGACGGTACACGGCACTATATAGTAACTCTGTCAAAGGATCGAATATTGCATGATGGTGGAGTGGAGCTTTGCTGTGACATCCGCATTAAACCCGAGGTCATGTGACACTTGCCCTAATTTTGTATAAATCACACCTTCAGCTCATCCGAGGACCGAGATAAAAGGATTGAGAGGCAATAGCTGCATTGTAGATCTGTTCAATAGTAGTGCTGTATATATCGAGTTGCTACTAGACGCGATTCTGAATATGGCTCCTCGGAAAGGGTTAAAGAATAGCACATCCATGTTAATTAGAACTATTTGCCTCAGACAGAGCTATATAGAGGTGCCCTGGAAGCAGAACTTCAGCTTGTAATGTGCTTAGGAACTTTCTTGGCCGATACAACTCAAAGGGATTAGTAGCCCATTAATTTAATACGAAGTAGGTTTGTGGCTGATGTTCTCACTGAATCAGGCAGTCTCGTCCCCTTGCATTTGTATGCATTCCCCACCCTCTACAAGCGATAACCATGCATTGCTTATCTCCACGAAGAGCATATCCAACATCGTATGTCTGCATAAGATATACATCCTGATGTATAAGCACTAAACAGGAGAAGACGCGGTGTTTGAACCACCCGTGTGTAAGATTATACAATCGCTACTATTACCTGTTAAATGATCCTTGTCAGTATCTCCACTGCATACGTAAATCATTGGTTCTTGAAGTAACGGGAAGTGCACACCTCGTAGTAATGTAGTATACAGCAGTAATGTGCTCGAACATCGGACAGTACAACCCTTCTCTAGGGATTATAGTTCATTAACCCGGTTCGTCAAAGTCGGGCACTCTAACTCCAGACAGGTAAAATACTTCGTAGCCCCTTATGGATGCAGCGCGATGGAAGATCACTGAGCCCACTCCCCAACCCACTTCTGGATCCATTCCGGCTTGACAGCCTCCACGGCTTGCAATTTCTCACTGCGCTGCGCGGTGAGTTGCGTATCCAGCACGTTCTCCGGCGTAGACTTGGACATGATATCCTCGAAGAATTCAAGCAGCTTGACGGCAGGGTTTTTAGCTACGAGCGCCTGTAGCTCCTTGTTGCTAAGGGCCTTGTCGCCAGTACCCGCTGTCTCAATGTCCTGCCGAATTTGCTGGACCCAGTCTCCAAAGGGAATAGTTTCAGCTGTTTTCACGGACGCTTTGAGGAGAGCATTTGCCACGATGGGCCGGATTGCTTCCCAGGTCAGGGGGTGCAGGGTTACCGGATGAAAAACACTGACAGATTCATTGGTTGCCTTGTCCTTGTTTAGAGCCAAATCGACTAATACCTCGGCCAAAAGGTCGATTGGTACCCAGCCAATGCGGTCGAGGGCTGGCCCGAGGGTGTCGGGGAGAGCACCAACGTGCAAGGAGCTCAGGACAAGACTGGGAAACCACTCTGCCTTCTTCCACAAGCCACGAGACCGCACGGGCCCCGCGATCTGGCCTACACGGGCGAAAGAAGCACGCAAGAAGCTCTGTTTAGCAGCTTGGGCGAGAAGATGTTCTGCGAGGTATTTGCTGTTGGCGTAGTCGTTAGGAGCCGGGGTGGTAGTTGTGATCAACTCCTCCGGCGTTAAGCCATTGCCAGTGTGGTAGCCCATAGTGGAGCTAATGGAAGAGATGAAGAAAAGATGCGGGGACTGGGTGGCGTTGTGGGCGAAGTTAATCAGATTCACTACTCCCACCAAGTTAGGCTTGAAGGAAGCCAAGGAGAGGTTGAAATTAGCGGCCCAGGAATTATGGATTACTCGGGTAGTTGTTGACTGTAGCATCTGATAAATATCGGACTGAAGCCGGAAATCTGGCTGCGAGAGGTCTGCAGCCCAAAAACTCACGCGCGACATATCTAAGTTTAAATTGTAGGCTTCGCTCTTCTTACGCTGCACGTCGATCGCATCATCCTTCCGACTAAGACAATGTACATGCCTCACTGTTGGGTTCCTTAATAGTGTATCAAGCATGTAGGCGCCCAAATTGCCCGTCGAGCCATTGAGTAAAACAGTATGGGCCATGGGGGACTTGGTAGGAGCGGTGCCGATGGCCGGCTGTCCGATGAGCTCCTGCAGCAGCTGGTCTCGGTCTTGTAATTGAGCCTCCTTCTGAGCCTCTGTGGACGCCTCCTGGTGCTGCTGAAGGTGTAGAACCGCTTGCGTCAGACCTATCACTGTTGGATGGAGATAGATTAAGTTTGGGGTGAGGGTAGGGGAGTCAAGCCCACGCTTGAAAATGCGAGTGGCAGTGATTCTTTGCAGGGAGTCCAGTCCGAGATTGAACCAATTCTCCATGTCTGTCAGCTTGTTCGCATTCCACCCAGTAATGGTAAGGATGGATTGTCGGATATAGTCCGAGATAAGCTTAGGATCTTCGGTGCATCCAGGTCCAAGCTGTTCACCGTCATTTTGTGCCAGCTTGTCCGCATCGATATACAGGGCATCCAACCCCGGAGTGTACTGTGCCAGCGTGCCAGCTCGCTGAATCGTTCCCTTACCGGCTCGAAGCATGGGCTTATTCGATGGCGTGAATTGAATATGGGTCTTGGCCACACGCGCATGCGCGGGACAAACCGCATTAGCTTGTTCAATGCTGGGTCAAATCTTTTCAATCATCGCAGCGCGTTCACCCACGCTGAGATCCTTTCCATTCACTTCTACTAGGAGAGATGCTTGGAAGCGCTGTGAGCCGGCCACAAGCGCTGTAGTGACATCTGGATTACACGCGATGATGTGCTGTTCCATTGACACTGGATTGGTTTTCTCACCGTTGAGGAACACAATCACGTCGTCTGCACGACCGCACCAGCGCCAGAGGTAGGGCTTAGTAGGATCTGGATGTCGCACAAACAGGTCTGAAGTGTGATAATCATATCGATCAGGGAAAAGCGTAAAAGGGAATTGGTAGCGCTCACCTTCAGGGCTACGGCTATAACCATCTCATACTCCTCCCCGGCGATATTATGAAGTTCGACTCCCATGCGGGGGTGAAAATCGATAAAACGCCAGTCCTTAAGGGGATCACAATTGGTTTTGGAGTAGATAGAAAGGATCATCCCGACCTCAGACACACCATACTGATTCATTAACTTGATCTTTGCAGCTACTGTGTCGCCGATCGGGCTGAGGGAGGTCCCCCCGCAGTAGATGAGATGTGTTAGATGTTTGCTACAGAGGTCCAGGAGGTCCGGGCTCTGTGCCAGTTCCTGAACGATCGACGGCACAATCAAGGCGGTCTCGGAAGGGGGTACGTTTTCTCGCTTCGACCAGGCGGCTGCAGTGGGAAACCCACCGGATATTGGCAGGACGAGGCTGACACCGATAGGCAAGATGATGAAGTGTAGGTAGGCCGGACCGGCCGCCTTTCCAAACCATTAGATCGTAGATACGAGTTTTCAAGTGCATCAAGAGAGCTTACATGGAAGGGAGGAGGAGCCAGATACATTCTCTTGCCCTGAAATGGAGGTGTTCCTTGCTCGCCAGCTCATCCACACTGGGGATATCTAGAACATTTAGGGGGTATGCCTCTAGGATAGTCGTGACGGGTGGTGGCTGCGGCACGGAGCTGATCAGAGTGGTGCAATTGAGCCTCTTTAACAAGCTGTTATGAGCGACCACGCTGTTCCGTGGCGATGTGAGGAACATCTAGAAGCAAGGTTAACTTTTCCTTGTCATATGTACCAGAGTTTATATATATATATCCCTGTGTGTGTGTGTGTGTGTGTGTGTGTGTGTGTGTTTTTCAATTATGCTTCTTGTATGTTCTCAGGTATTGATATGTTAACAGTGGATCCTTTGTTGCGACGATCTGTAAACCACGGCTATTAGAGAGGGATCACGTTTGTCATGATAATATATCTAAATGTTACGAGTAATTAGCTCTAGCTCTATCCTATATGCCTACATAGTATACCTTTCCATGACGACATTAGTCACTCAATCTAATATGAGATTTTACTAGACCAGGTAAGTGACTGAACTACCCTGCCTATCAAAAGAACAAGATTGCACCTGAATCAATTATGGGATCCAAAATGACTTGAAGAGAAGTCCGATCTTTCTTGTAAATACTAGTAGGACTTTAGTATAGTATCTCGAGTACTTTCATACCTCTATACTATATATCTCAGGATTACGGGCGTGCCGAGAGATAAGCCGTTCAAGTTTTTAGTATACCTAAGCTTTATAACCATACAATAACATTGTTTTTATACACCAGAGATCAAGCTAACCACAGCTAAGTGCCTCTGCCTTAGTATAAAGCTGGGGCATGTTTGTCATTCTGTCGGGGTGTAGTCGCCTAAAGGTGGGATCGATAATCGACACGGCGATGTTCGAGATACTATGCAAATTAGTCGAGCTTGAACAATTAAGGTTAAGCTCTAATGCATCGTTTGCTCGAGATCACGCCTATTAGCCTCCCTCCGTCTTCCCTTCTGTAGTACTGCACAGTGTACACGCACTAGGCGCTGTAAGGAATCTTATTATATACCAAAAAATGTGTCGATACATGGAGGTGTAGTACAGCCTCGGTTGAGAAGCTGGTTCTTCATTCCGTTTAATCGATGTGCATGAAACTGATGCTGGGGAAGTTGTTAAGAGAGCCTAAGGTACAAGGAGAACAAATTAAAGTCGTTGAGTGACATAATGGGAAGAAGGAGGCTACGCTGTCTTTCCCATCGGGGTTCTACCTAGCCCTAGGGGACTTCCACGTATGGCGTGAGAATTAACTCAGCCCAATTGACAAACAAACCGATACACATCGTCCTATCTGCGCTTCGCTCGAACGGCGATCCTGACTCAGAGCTATGTCAAGCGTCTCATCATGCCCCCCGCTTAGTAAATCTTCTGATTCTATGTATGTCTAGCCGTTCCTCCGTGTAGTACTCAAGCCAGTTCTCATTGCTTTGATTTCTGACTGGCTACTTGCATGATGGCTCCCTCCATGTGTTAGGACGTCGACTGGCCCAAGGACCAATTTAACCTTCGTGAGGGAAAGTGAAATATCATAGAAGCTTCGGTTCCCAGGTCCCGTTCAATCTGAAATCCAATGAGACACGTTATCTCCGACGGGCTTGGGGGTTGGGTTGGGCCACCGCGCGGACAGCTGCTTGAAGTGAAATACGAGCAGAAGGCATGCTTGTAGACAAGTATCCAGGTAAACCAGTCAATCAACGATATTCCAGTTTCATATGTAACAAGCCAAGACTTGAAAATCTACTGTTATCCACCACCTACTCTTTGTTGTAGTGGCAATACTTCGGAAGGGAGTGGTATGATGGCTATACTGCGTTCAAACAACGTTATTTGACGACTGTCAGATACTAGTATAGTACACTGTAAAACTACCTAGCACAATAAGCGCAAAGCAACACAACACCATCAATAGACTACTCATCAAACCCAACGTCACTTAAGTAGTACCAAAACCCCACCGCAAAAAGCTAATCCAAAGAGAAGATACAACCTGGGGATAAAAGAGTCTATACGGCGTAAGCGCGGGGTGTTTGGTTAGAGTAAACAGAAATTAAACTTAGCATGTTGTTGATCCTAACACTACTAGTACCAGTAGGGGAAATAGTTTGGGCCATCAGTTATAAAACTGTTTCCGTGCGTGGCATTTAAACATACATATGTATGAAGATGCATGCAGCATGCATGCAGTACGTGCCGTGCTACCGGAGCGTTAATGTAAAACAATTGATTGGTTGAATTGAGTTCCGAGATGGTCACTGGTAACTGACTTTACATATTCTGTCCCTCTGGTATCAGAGGAAATATGTGTGTTATTTGTTCTGCTACGCCTAACATTCGTTGTTTTTCTGCCTCTAGGGTTCGATGGAGGTGGTAGTGTGGGTAAATGGTCTGTGTGTTGTTGATTTTTGGGATATTTCCAGAAGGGCGAGCTGAGTCGAAGTAGGTCGTCTTTAGTTCTATAATTACCTCGGGCCTTCCTTGTACAGGAAGTAGACCTCTGGTATGAGTCCTATATGGTGCGACCAGGAATACCATATATGGTTCCACGGTCCCGAACTAGAAGCCCGGAATTACATCACTCTTGAGGGCTTCTTACTCTCGATATGGAATGCCATATTTCGGTCACAATAACGACAAAGTTCAATATTATGCCATGTAAGGGATGGATATAAACGGTAGAGCCACATTCCCTTTGGGACTAACATAGAAAAGCAGATGCCACCCTCAACCCCAAGTCAAACAAATATTAATCATGCGATCAGAGTCTTGATACCCGCCTCCAGGGCGGGGGGGTTGGCGCCAACGACAGTATCCACCTTCTCGCCATTCTTGAAGAGTATGAAAGTGGGCATGGCGCGGATACCAAGATCGGCAGCGACATTGGAGAGCTCGTCGACATCGATCTTGTAGAACTTTGCATCAGTGTACTGCTCGCTGAACTGAGCCAGCTTAGGGGCAATGGCCTTGCAAGGGCCGCACCACTCGGCGAAGCAGTCGAGAACGACAGGGCCGGAAGCTTCCAAGACCTTCTCCTTGAACTCCTGCTCGCTGCACGGACAGTTAGTGACAATGGGTAACCGAGAATGAGACGTAACAAAAGAGAGAGACAGGGATTGTGAGAAACAAGTTGTTGCTCGGTGTTTATGCAAGAGAGCGAAGCCTTACGTCTTGATCGTCACAACTTTGCCCTCAGACATGGTGGATGAAGGTGTGAATCGAACGGTGGGGGTAGAGGAAAAAGATCGTCGAGTGAGATTGAAGTGTGTGCCGACGGAGGGCCGAAGGGGGGTAGTAGATGCGATTGCTCTAGATGAGATCCTAGCAGAGGAAAGGGAGAGACGAGCGGTTGATGGTTTAAAACTAGGGAAGATAATAATTAGCTCCGGGTGAGGGGCTGATAGAGGGGCACAAAACGAGAATTTAAATCCCGATATGACGTTGTCGGTTGGCCTGAGGTTGCACGGTATGAATAATCACCACGGGGTTCCCCTGTCCACACCGAATCCTCTCGGCCACCGTGGAAAGGGCGCGGGTCATGGATGAGATTCTATGGGTGGATAAAATTGCTTACCAAGTCACTCGAGATGCTCGCAGGAGACTATTAAATTGATTGGTCAGGCTAGGAGAATACATGTTTGGTTACAATTGCGTGGTAATGAGATGGTTTGGTTGGTCAGTACAGAGCAGTATGATGGGAGGATTCAAACGGGCAGATGATCGGAGTGAGAAGACGCTTCTGGTTCTCCCGCTTCTGCAGGGCAAACATGCTTAAAGCGGCGGCCTGGAATGGCGTGCTCCCCGTCGCTTATCAATCAGGAATGGTCTGGATCGACATTCGTTTTGGTACCTCAGGCAGTCTACTAAGCATGCCAAAGAAAACAAGCATACAGGAATACTCGAAGGATGCGGATCTACGATACAGAGTAGTATTCCGTTCACCTCTCAGTCGCCTGCTTCCAGCTACAGCCTGACTAAAGTCTACAACGGTTGTTATTTTAAATAGTATGAAATCCCAGTCTCCGAAACTGAAGATTTTCATGGCCGGATATAGTATCTTTGCATTGTTGCGACACACTAGACTCTGATGCACCATCAATTAATAACTAATATGATATGGCGCTGGAGATAATAAAGGGCATCGCAATACTGAAAAGAAAAAAAAAAAGCAAGTCACTCATGCAACAGCGACATGCGTGTTGGCATCAATATGTGCATCGAATCGAAGAATAGGATTGCTTCAAGTCTATTGGAAGGATATAGTTTTTAGAAGAAAATGAATCAAATAGAACCATTAACTTTGCAAACTCATTCAAACTTCAGCTGACGTGGGGGTATCAACAAACACAAGAACTAGCAACGCCCGCGAGCAAGACCAGAAACAACGAGTCGGCACGGGGGGAGACATCGAAGAATGAAGTGAACTTATGGCCACGTCAAGTGCCACATGGAACACGTGCAAAACCAACAACACAAAGGAGAGACAAAGGAAAGGTTCGAGGGGGTGACTGGGGTATATACGAAAGAGGCTGATTGAATGCTCTTAGGGCGAAAGAACGCCAATGAGAAAATCAAATGTTGGCGAATGAATATCACATCACCTAGATCACGCTCGGTAATCAGGCCCCAGTCAAGTTTGGCCATGGGCTAACTGCCCGATGTAGTGGCGATGCCCTACTGGCCATGGTGACCGTTGTAGTCATCGTTGGTCTCAAAATAAAATTCAGCTGGATGTTCTTCGATAGGACTGAACTCCTCTTCCATAGATATTGCACACATGGATTGGACATTATTGAGCAGACCCTCGTTCGACTTAGGCCGGACTGCTGGGTTGACAAGCACAGGACGCTTTGCAATTTCGTCATGCCAGGTCTCCTCGGTCGGCTCTGGCGCATTAACCATTTCAAAGTCGTTGTCTTGCTCACTAAGCACGTGGCTAGCTCTGGTGGTCTCATCATGGTTGGTGCTAAA